GTTGACTATTGCTCAACAGTTTATGTTTTTCTATGTGTCGGACAATTTTATTCTTAACTATTGTTTCGACTAATTTGCCCGGTACAGACGTTAGACTTACCGGTCTGTAATTGCCGGGATCACCTGTAGAGCCCTTTTTAAATATTGGCGTTACATTAGCTAACTTCCAGTCATTGGGTACAGAAGCCGATTTAAAGAACAAGTTACAAACCTTAGTTAACAGTTCCGCAACTTCACATTTGAGTTCTTTCAGAACTCTTGGGTGAATGCCATCTGGTCCCGGTGACTTGTTAATGTTAAGTTTATCAATTAATTCCAAAACCTCCTCTCGTGACACTTCAATCCGTGACAGTTCCTCAGATCTGTCATCTACAAAAGCCAGCTCAGGTTTGGGAATCTCCCTAACATCCTCAGCCGTGAAGACTGAAGCAAAGAATCCATTTAGTTTCTCCGCAATGACTTTATCGTCTTTTAGCGCTCCTTTTGTATCTCGATCATCAAGGGGCCCCACTGGTTGTTTAGCAGGCTTCCTGCTTCTGATGTACTTAAAAAACATTTTGTTATTACCTTTGGAGTTTTTGGCTAGCTGTTCTTCAAACTCCTCTTTGGATTTTCTTATTACATTCTTGCACTTAATTTGGCAGCGTTTAAGCTCCTTTCTATTTGCCTCACTAGGATTTGACTTCCACTTTTTAAAGGAAGTCTTTTTATCTCTCACTGCTTCTTTTACATGGTTGTTAAGCCACGGTGGCTCTTTTTAAGTTATTTTACTGTGTTTCTTAATTTGGGGTAAACATTGAAGTTGGGCCTCTATTATGGTGTCTTTAAAAAGCACCCATGCAGCTTGCAGGGATTTCACTTTAGTCACTGTACCTTTTAACTTCTGTTTAACTAACCCCCTCATTTTTGCATAGTTCCCCCTTTTGAAATTAAATGCCACAGTGTTGGGCTGTTGAGATGTTCTTCCCACCACAGGGATGTTGAACGCTATTGTTTCTGAGCTGAGTGGACTTCTGAGCAGAAGGAATGGCAAGAATGAAGACAGATACCTGGACTGCTAATGATGGAAAATAACTGACTATTTGAACTATTACTCTGCCATGGTAGGCTTGTTCTTCACAGTACATTTTCATACAGCACTAAATGGAAATTTTTATTTTTTTAAGCTTTTACAGGTTTCCTGGTTCAACAAGGATAAACTTCTATGTAAAAATTCTGCCAATGTTTTTCCTCAGTTGCACATACAATAATACACATAAATGCAGCTTTCTAAAGACACCCCCAAAGTCTTAGCTCTAATTTAAAAAATCCAAACTTACATCTAGGTCAGGAAGCATGCTGCATTTACTGTCACACTGTATCAAACTGTTGTCTTTTTCAGTGCTGTCCTCTGACACATCTTTATCCACCCCTGGCACTTCCCCTCCTCCAGCTTCCTTTCCTAAATTTGATTTTGGCCTCTGAAATTGATTCCTCAACAGATGTGTTGTCTGAACAGCCACTTCTTTTTCTTGCTGAGAACTGGCGTCTCTGTTAGACCAAAGAAAATATGTAAAGAAGCAATACAGGCGACAACCATATAGCCTAGGTCCCACACATGGTAAAGCACTCAACAGTGCAACTGAAACTAACACATGACCCTCTATAAAACAGGCATTCCTCAATATAGTAGCTAAGCATGCAATCCCCAGCTTCCAATTACTTAGGTTGTTGCCAAAGGTTAATAGGGATATGAGAAGGAAGCAAGCACATGACAAAACTATAAAATAATGGGTGGGCAAGTAAAGAGGTGACATCATCATAGGACCTAATCACATCAGCCATACCATCAGGGGCTCGTTCACCTGCACATCTACCAATGTGATATATATGCCACCATGTGCCAGCAATGCCCCTCTGCCATGTACATTGGCCAAACCGGACAGTCTCTACGCAAAAGAATTGATGGACACAAATCTGACATCAGGAATCATAATACTCAAAAACCAGTGGGAGAACACTTTAACCTGTCTGGCCATTCAATGACAGACCTGCTGGTGGCTATCTTACAACAGAAAAACTTCAAAAACAGACTCCAATGAGAGACTACTGAGCTGGAATTGATATGCAAACTAGATACAATCAACTCAGGATTGAATAAGGACTGGGAATGGCTGAGCCATTACAAACATTGAATCTATCTCCCCTTGTAAGTATTCTCACACTTCTTATCAAACTGTCTGTACTGGGCTAGCTTGATTATCACTTCAAAAAAAAATTTCTCTCTTACTTAATTGGCCTCTCAGAGTTGGTAAGACAATTCCCACATGTTCATGCTTTCTGTATGTGTGTATATGTATCTCCTCAATATATGTTCCACTCTATATGCATCCGAAGAAGTGGGCAGTAGCCCACGAAAGCTTATGCTCTAATAAATTTGTTAGTCTCTAAGGTGCCACAAGTACTCCTGTTCTTTTTGTGGATACAGACTAACACGGCTGCTACTCTGAAACTTGCTAAAAGCAGCAACTTTTGGATTAATACAGCCCTGAGTCTTATTTTATGAGGAATGTATCATTCACTACAAGTTTAACTGTCTCACAGTATCTAAAACCTCATATAAGATCTAAACCCAATTTTCAAAATGTGGCACCTCAATCTTAAAAACAAGTTCAAATTCCATGTTTTAAAAGTTCAAATGAGTACTTAAGTATTCATAAGTAAGAACTGTTTTGAAGTCTACACCTACAGGTTCCGGGCATCCTATAAAAATCTTTAAGTTTGAAAATTGGACTCACAATCCAAGATCCTTTTTTATAGCATTTACACTTTAAAAGGAATTTTTAGGCTTTAAAAAGAAATAAAATGTATAAAAGGGGAACTAGTTATTAGCTATCTTGTCTGAAATCCTACTGCTTTCAGGTTTACTTTTAAAAATCCAACATTAAAGTGATCTGTTAGATATGCTCGGTTAAAAATCAGTTTAATGTTTACTTTGATGATGCTAAATGCGAGTGCTGAATTTGAAGATTAATGTGTTAGTTCTGTGGAGACACCCAATGCTTCTGCATTTTCCCTTTCCTTCACTTAAACTTACCCTGTACCAAAATCTGAACCATCTTCCAAATCATCCACAGAAAATGACTCCTTTTCTTGTTCACAACTCTCAGATCCCAAGAATTTCTCTTGGGAACGCTGTTTTACATGCACTGAGACCACCTTCTCAGCTCCTGAGGTGGCTTCTTTTTCTGATATCTCAGAACACAGCAGGATGTCTTCATTACCTGTTGCATCCTAAAAGGAACAACAATTTCACTCATTAAAAAGATTTGAAAAAGCTTTTCTTTGTAGGAAGGAAAGTAATGAAAAATAACATACATTTTGCAAAAGCAATTTAACATTTAACATACCCTTAAACAAGCCTCCCCTCACTCAGAGACACAACAAATACTATCACTAAGTATTTGTAAAATAAAGACAACTATTTAAGATTCCAAACCCTTAATATTTGTTTAGATTTAAAATATTACAAATCGTCTTTCATGTCTCTGAAAGAGAGGAGTTTGGATTCTGTATTTCCCAGTTTATAGCTGTTATCACAGACAAAGTAAGGAATGCAACTCGCGGCACTTTAGATTCTTGGGATGTAATCTACTGCTCCGATAGAACACAGAATCTCCAAGTCCTTGAATTCAGATCCTAACAAGTTTCAGGTCACCTTTAAAAAGGCAAGGTGGCTACAAGCTACCACAAGAATTATGCCCATGCAGCTGCAAAGAAGTGTTAGAGCTCAGATGAAAGAAACTTACCCCTGTGGTGAGGAGTGCACCACTTTTGTTTTCACAATGTATCAAACTCTTCACTGCTTCTCCAACTTCCATTTTTTCATCTTCTACATCTTTTTTTGTTGCTGATACTTCTTGCCTTCCAGCTGCCCTTCCTACATTTGGTTTTGGCCTCTGCATTCGAGCCCTCATTAGTGGTGCTGGTTTAAGTACACTCTGTTTGCCACCTTCTTGTAAACAGGATATTTCTTTAGACCTGAAAAGGCACACATTCAAAATAACAATGTCCCAGATTTCTGAAAGCTAAAGGGGGGCCTTCAAATCTAATAGCAAACTGTTCTTCAGTTTGTTAACAACCACGGGCACACAGACACATTATTTATTGCAAATTTAATGAAAGTTAAAATTATATACTCTAGACTAAAACGACATTTGACCCTAGTAAAATTTAAGTTGGAAATGTTCAATTGCAAACATTTTTATAGAATGCATGGATAAACTCCATCCTCTGCCCTGCCATTATGAGAGAGTTACATATTTTTAGCCAGCAATAAGCCTTCTTACATCCTTACTCCAAGCACATGATTACATTAGTATAATAAGATTGATGCATAGTTTTACAGAGAGCATAAAATTTTAAAAAGCAACTAAAGTGTATAATTATCATCATTATATACCCTAGACAGATTTTCACTTCTCTGACGGAAAGTTTGAATATTTCTTCCTGCTACAATTTATTTATTCACCTTCCCATCTCTTCAAGTCTCCATATCCTTTATTGAGTCTTAAGAATTTGTTTCATTTTTTTACTACTTTACATTCTTCTACAACATACACCACCACACAGGAGACACATTACACACATCATGATTCTGGTTGAGGAAGAACAGTGCAAGAAACTATGTTTAAAAAAAAAAAAAAAAAAACAAGAATAACCTGCCCGCACTATAGGAAATTTCTTCCCAGCCCTAGACAGTTTGCAGTTAGCTTGTGCCTTGAAACACGAGGAGTTATGCCAGATAATATGTTACTTTAAGTGTGAATTTTCTTACCCTTGTAAATGTCAAATCCTGTTATTTTCTGTCATATAAAAATATAAGAAATCCATGATTGTAACTTGCTTTACACTTAGCAATTCAATTTGTTTTCTTTGAAGGGACTAGCTTTTCCTTTAACTGTTTGGCATTTATCTTATCTGCACCTTGTAAACAGTCCACGAAATTTCATCTGAATAGCAGTGACACTGTCTGTTCCACTTATAAAAATGCAAGTTGGAAAAGACTGCCAAAAATATAACTTAAGAGTAAAAGCTTTTATATTCACCATTCTCTGCAACACTATCAGAAAGGAGAAGGCAGGGAAAGAGCTGAAAATAGCAGGATACGTCTCCCTGCTCTGTACAAACTTACTGAGATTCAGTCTCTGAGATCCTCCCATCTTTTTCTGTAGTTTCCCCTCTGGTACTGTCAGGTGTGTTACCTTGGTCAGTACTCTGCTGAAGAGTAGAAAATTAAAATGAAGAAATTTAAACTTCGTCATAGCTATATAAAAGATGTAATAAACAATCGTGTTAGAACTGATAATAGCTGAGCCTAAAAGATACCAGGTTTGTAGGTTAAGGTATGGATATGTCCTACACAGCAGAGGACCTTAGAGATGTCTTCATATCAGTCACAGAAGACATCTTGAGGCCACTGCACTGTGAAAGCTAATGGGAACTATGTCCAACAGGCCAACATCTACCCTTTTAGATGGTATGCTCTTTGGAGCAGGGACCGTCACTTACTGTAAGTTTGTACAGTGCCTAGCACAATCAAGCTCGCAACCTGATTTTGGCCTCCAGGTTCTACCACAATATAAGCGATAAACGTAGAACAAAAATCCATTACACGGCTTGTTGACTGAGACTTCTGGTTACACTCAGCAACAAAAGGACAAACAACAACATGATTAGGTATAGAGGCTTATTTTTCTAGCCACTTGACAAAATACAAATGTTTATCATTTCCAGTTAGTTTTATTCTGTTAAATACCTTTTCAATTGCTCCCTCAGGCTCTTGAGGAGTTTTGTTCTTTCCTTCACCTTGGACAGGAGCTTCTTTTTTCCCAGATGCTCCTACTACATTAGGTTTAAATCGCTGCCGACGCCCTCTCATTGCTGCTTTTTCAGTAACAGCTTTTTCTCTAAACAAGAAAAAAAGTATGGCATTCAGAATCAGCATTTGTGCCATCAAGCCTATTAATGTCATCTCAGACATAAGAAAGATGATTTTCAATGACCTGCACAATTTTCTCTATTAAAAAAGGATCTTAAATACAGATCCTTTGGGGTATTGGTTTTTTTGCATCTGTTTGTACATTTCTTTGACGTGCAGAAGCTGCTTTTATCTGAAACACTATAGAAAATCCTATGATCCACTTGTTGAAATATTTATAGTCAGTCTTTTGGCCCCTTCCACTAGCATTAGGTCTTCCAAACTCTGTAACAGAGTTATGTGGCTTACTCTCTATAGTTCCTGCTCCAATCTTCAGAAGCTAGGCATCAAGCTGTGGAATGTGGGGAAGAATCAAAGTATATACCTTTATGAAAGTCTATTTTTAATCCCTGTGTAGTTTCAACTCCTCCTCCCTGGACATCTTATCACTGAATTCCTCTCCCCTTCCCCCCAGTAAGGTTCAAATCATCATTGATAAAACTTCTGAATTAAAAAGAATGGTTTGGTATTGTATGAAGTCTGGCTCTCTTCAGCCTCCCAGGAGAGGAGTGCAACACTTCCATGATATTGTCATTCCATATTGTCCTAGGAAATCTAGAAGCCAAGTTAAGGATTCACACTTGTCTCCTCAGTTTGCACTTCCATCATAGTTCATCAGACCAGCCTATGGAAGGACTACAACAGACCATTGTATGCAATAAACTAGAAGACACTGCAGTAAACAGTTAAGAGTTAAAGCAAAGACGATATGATAAACTGATCTCTGAATACTCACTGGGATTCAGTCTCTAAGGCTTTGATTTCTCTTCCTGTGGTTTCATCTCTGGTGATTTCAGCTGTGTTACCTTCACCAGCTTCCATGGTACACTGAATTAAAATAAAAAAATATATTTGTTTTTTTATATAGAGGACAGAGAGATGAGAGATAGAGCATTTGAGTCAAATTTGATTTGCAAAGTCAGTGGTCAGATGGGGTATAATGCAGCTACATTCCCACTGTATACCCCAGAAGTATCCTGCTTCGTTAACAGAAACCAAAGCACCAACTAAACATGTCAGATCCTGGCCAGCATGGACTTTCAAGTGATCTCAGAGATCTTAACCATGATCAAGAAGCTTTGGTCATTGTCCCATCCCTGAAAATCCTTCAGCTAAATGCTGAAGGTCTCATGTGCTGAATGTTCTATTCTCCAGTCCCTAGCCTCCAAACATAAATGGACGTAATCTGTCTTCAGGAGACACATCAACTCACTTTCTGCCAGCTGCCTTAACACCACAGGTTATGACCTCGTGAGTTACCCTTTGCATAGCAAATGGGGCCACGCTACCTATGTTAGAGCAGATCTTGCTGGCATGGAACCACTCCAATCTAATTCAGACCTCTGATGTTGAGAGAGTATCATTTCAGAATGGCAAAAGGGTACATGCACGCTAACCAACCCTGCCCTCCCCCAAATATTATTCCTAAGCTCCCACAGCCTGACAGGTTTTAAAAGCCAACACAATACCTGGAGATATAGAGTCAGATCAAAATGGAGTCGACCTTTCGGACTGGGTTTCAGTCTATGGTGTTCACCTCATCCATAATCCAAACAGAGTACTTTTCATTCTCCCAGATGGAAGCAAGACTACTCCCCTGACCTCACCTGGATCACCAGCACAAGCCATCACCTACTTTAAGCTATAAGCAGCATAATGAAAAACTTCCCACATAGTCAGCATAGTCTGATTTTTACCAAAGTTGAAGTAACCATACCTGTCGTAAGTATCAATATTAACCCTTGCTGAAACGATCAGAAAGCAACCTGGCCCAGCTTCACACAATTCACAAAGCTTGTATCCCACACAACATCTCTACTGAAGCAACTTACATGCAGTAAATTCCAAGAGGTTGTTGTAAGGCCCTACATGAACTGCAGGATGATCTTCAAACAATTGCAGCTGAGCTGCATGGAAAATCGTAGAAGAAAAATAATAATGGACCTTTATTAATAGTGGTAATTTGGAAAAAGCAAGAGTAGACCTATTTGTTTAAAAAAATTGCTGGAACAATATAAACACTCAAGTATTGTGTTATGCCTGCTCATTTTTTTTGATAGCCAGACATTTTGCTACAACTATATTACATTCATTTAAAAAAAAAAAAAAGGGAACTGGTACAATATAAAATTCAGAAGAGAAAGTCTTAAACACAACTGCTATAGAAATCAAGTCCAGTCACGTTAGCTTTTTACAGCCATTGAATGTTAGTACAATACTAACTGCATACTTAAAATGTATGCAAAATTGTAGACTGTGCAAAGTAAGCTAATTAAAATCAAAATTGTGATGGAGGCCTAATATTGCAGGATCCGCAATTTTAGCAATATCGCAAATGAAGTACGGCCTGAGTTATAAGACCTATATTCCCTGCCTAGATGAGGAGTTTGCAGAACTCCTCAAGCAACGTGAAGACGTGGCAATCCAGACATCACCACACATCTTTTAGACAGCTTGAACACTTCTATAAGAGCAAGATGGGAGCAATCTACCATGGAACTAAACATATCAAGAGACAACAGCAAAGCCTGGGCACTAATCAGAAAACTTGGTGCTGCTCAGAAGCCTCCAGCACAATGCCATTGTTCAGTCTCTCCATATAGTATTGTTATCCCCCAGACAAATTCCGCAGAAGTGGATGAAGGACAGAAAGTTTGAAGGAGAGATAAAGAACAAATGGTGCAATACAAAGAGGGTATATCTGATACTGAAAAGATTTCCAGCCTTTCACCACAGATGAAATAGAATGGGCAATCAAAACACTGAAAACAGGTAAAGCCTGTGGCTTTGATAACAACTCCACCAAGTTGCTGAAGAATAAGGGAAAACTAGCAGACAATGGCTACCCATGTTTCTAACTCACGTCACCCACAAGAATAAAATACCCAAGATCTAGCAGAGAGCAAAAGTAATAGCCCTGTCAAAACCTGAAAATGCCCAGTGACTTGCAAAATTACTACTTCCCCATCGCTTTACTAAGTTGTATGTACAAATTACTTGACAGAACCTTCCCAATCACTGCATTTTAGATTCACACTAATCTGTCTGGCAGTAAAGAACCAGGATTTCAGTCACACAGAAGAAGTCCCGAATGCTAATATGAAAGATATGGCTCACTATTGTAAAAGATGGAGACTTAAACCTATCACCAAAAAAGACAGCGTCCAGTTGCTTTCCTCTATACCAGACAAAGGCCAACAAACAGCTCAATATCTTCCCGAATGGACACAGGCTGGACAATGACCCAAAGCCAGTGTATCTGGGTGTCACACTGGACCACATCTTGATTTCCCAGGAATGCCTTACTAAGATGTTGCTGAAAATAAAAACAGCCAACAACGATATCAGCAAATTAGCTGGTTCTACCTTGGGAGCTAACGTACAAACACAAACTCTGGGCTTCGCCTTATGCTATTTTGTAGCAGAGTATTACTCTCCAGTAAGCTCTTTTCATATAGGACTAACAGACACTCAGCTACATGAAACCATGCATATAATAGGTACCATTAACCAACTAACCTGGCCTGGCTGCCGGTTTTGTCCAATATCAACCCTCCTGACATTATGTGACAAGTCACCTTGCAGAATCTGCTCTTTAAGGTGCAAGACATGTCACATCTACCCCTATTTAAAAATGTGTTTAATCTACCGAGCCATCATCTCAGTTCAAGTCACCGCTTTGGGACAATTCCGCTAAGGAACCTCAATTTCACCTCCAGGTGCCAAGAACAAGCTTCAAACATAGCCTATCTTGTGAGAGATCCACTAAGTCCATCCCCTGGTTTTGACATTCCATGCCCTCTTTGGATAAAGCTCAACTGCTTCAGATGTGAAGTAATCAGATATGCTGCTAATCACTAAAACCAACACGCTTGACTTGATCATCTATGTATAAGCAATTGCTATACAAGTAGTCAGATGAGCCACAGAATAGGTCACCAAGGTTTAGGAGATCAACTTTTACAAGTGGATATAACACAAAATTGTTAGCATTTGCAATTAACATTGCTGCTCCCCACCATTTTTTCAGCCCCTTCTGTAGGCTCTGAAGAAGAAATCTTGACCTCAGATTTCTCTTGGACTGTTGCTTCTGTCTTTCCAGATGCCCTTGCTAAGTTGGGTTTAGGTCTCTGCAGGCGTCCTCTCACGGATGGCTTTCCAGCAGCAGCTTTTTCAGTTTCCCTTAAGATACAAAAACAATAGCTTATAATATTCACAGCAAAGAAATTCAGTACTTTATATGATCAAATATATCCTCCAAAAACATGTTATCTACATATTACATACAATAAAACAGTAACTGACAGAAATCATTACTGTGTTCTATGCCATTTGTGGGTATGCTTTATTTCTTGAAAGTACAGAATCTTTTGTAAGTGTGTAAGGACATTCTTCATAAGTTTACTAGTTTTCAGCACTGTATGGGGCCACACCTCCAAAGAGAATATTAGAAAATGTAACAGTTCCAGGGTGGATAAAAAAATATTTTTTTTGAAAAGTAAAAAATTATTTTTATGGTTATTTGAATTATAATAAGTTTTCTTTTTAAAAATAAACCTATTTAAAATGAAATCGGAATTTAACACAAAATATGTTAAGGCCTAAACTGATAATCTCTTAAAACATTTAAGTAAAAAATATGCTGAATCCATGAACCTCTATTAAAAACTCAGAATTAAAGGCTGCTTTCCTATATAAAGAAAGAATCAGGTGGAAAACATTTAACTTTTGAGGTCAAGCTTTATAAATATAGCACAATAGGTCAGCCTAAGTAATTTAGGAGACTCTCTCATTTTCAGGAGACTTAGACAAGACTTTCACTTAAGCATATTTGAAAATTTTCTCAGGCTGACCTGAAATAATCAGTTTAATTGACTACAGTTAATTCCTCTATTCCTTTAATAAATACTTTAGTTGTAAATTTGAAACATGTTTTGGATACATAAACTTCTCTTATCAAAGCATTTAAGGTTGCGCTGTTTAATAAAAATAAGTTTTGTATACTGTTGTGTGTTTGATTAAATTCCAGTTACAATCCTAATGCAGCTTGACACAAAACATGAAAAAGGCAGTAGTCCTAGGGCTTGTCTATACTTACACGCTGGTTCGGCGGCAGGCAATCGAACTTCTGGGTTCAATTTATCGCATCTTGTCTGGACGCGATAAATCGAACCCAGAAGTGCTCCCCGTCGACTCCGGTAATCCTGCTCGGCGCGAGGAGTACACGGAGTCGACAGGGGAGCCTGCCTGCCGCATCTGGACCGTGGTAAGTTCGAACAAAGGTACGTCGACTTCAGCTACGTTATTCACAAAGCTGAAGTTGCGTACCTTAGTTCGAATTGGGGGGTTAGTGTAGATCAGGCCCTAGGTTGGAGACAGCAGAAGGAAGTTAGTATGCTGTAGTATGGCATAATGATCAGAAGATCTGAATAGTACACTACTACATACTAGATTAATTCAATCCCCACCCCTTACTCATTCAGCGCTATTATCCTGACAATGAACCCCCAAGATCTTGGTATACTAAGGGCTCGTCTATACTACCCGGAGGATCAGCGGGCAGCAATCGCTCCACCAGGGGTCGATTTATCACGTCTAGTATAGACGCGATAAATCAACCACCAAGCGCACTCCCGTCGACTCCGGTACTCCACCGGAGCGAGAGGCGCAGGTGGAGTAGACGGGAGAGCAACTCACCGCAGTGAAGACACCACGGTGAGTAGATCTAAGTACGTCGACTTCAGTCACGTAGCTGAAGTTGTGTGACTTAGATCGATTCCCCCCCACACACACACCCCTCACGTAGACCAGGCCTAAGTTGCACAAGCCGTAACTCTCATTAAAACCAAAATAACTTACTTGTCCCTATGCAACATTTTGAAGTTTACTATAAGCACCATTCTTTGGCAACAGAAACTTAGTTCTATTTGAAGTATTTTTAAAATAAAGAGGAACAAAAGACCACCTGCTATGCCATGTGAACAGATTTTATAACACACATACCTACCCCACCCCCAAATTAGAGAAACATAGATTTAACTCCCAGTAGAATATTACTGCTAGGCAGAATAACTACTCACATTGTTTCAGATTTAGAATCATGGCTTTTTCCTGCTGTACTTTCCTTTTCATCTGGTTTATATAAATCACATACTTCATTGTTCTATGTGGAAACAAAGTAATATTTAGAATTCCTGATTCCTGCAATAGTGAAGAAACTCTTGCTACAAGACAGTTAAATATTGGTGTCAAATGAAAGTGAAAACAAGGCTTCTCTTTCATCTTTCAGTTAAATCGAGTGAGTGAGATTCTAGTACCAATTTTAACTATGTTGGCTGTAGGCTTTAAATAATCTTTCCACCAGAGATCACGAGGCATTATTGCAAAAAGCAAGAATGATAAAGGGAATTATTCTTGATCAACAGATATAGCAAAATATAAAATCTACCTATTATATAAGAACAAAAGCATTTCTGCTACATAAAATTATTTTTCTCCTTTTATCTACAGTTGTTTCATCACATAAATATCCTCAAAGGGGTGTATTTCCTATACTGAATGGTTTGGCATTTTCAGATTGCAAAGGAGATTCATTATGCATCAAATTAAATTCACTTAACCACAGCACATGTAATCTACAACGTAAAAACATTACTGATCGTAACATAAGCATTCTGATTGTGATGACTTGAGACTCCAGGCTTTTCTTAAGGCTGTCCTTCCTGTTACAATAGCAATATATTGTCATAGCTAGTTGGCCTGAAAACCAGGGCCGGCTCCAGGAACCAGCCCTCCAAGCATGTGCTTGGGGCGGCACCTAGAGGGGGGCGGCGCTCACCCGGGGAGAGCAGGGCCGCGGCCGGGCTTGGCGCCCTCCCCTGCTGCGCTCCCCGCCAGGGGGCGGGGGGCCGTGGGAGGCTTTTTTGTCTGGGGCGGCAAAAAAGCCAGAGCCAGCCCTGCTGAAAACATATCTGTTTAGTTCTGGTTTGTAGGCAGGACTGAGGCACATTACAGAGTCTAGGCTATTCTGTCCACTTCAATTCTTCTGAGGCAGAAGAGTGTTGTATTTCTTCCTACTCAAGGAATTCAAGGTGCTTCACAAAGATTAGAATTAGCCAACCTCCCAGTAAAAATGGGGAAGTTTACTTATTTTTTAAATATAAATGAATGGTGAAATTGAGGGTCAAGAGTTTAAGCGACTTCCCCAAGGTAGCATAGGAAGTATCTCCTGACCCCTCCCAGGCTTCAGCCACAAGACCATTATTTGTCTTAGAAAGATTAAAATATTAAAGGACTCCTTCAGACAGGCATTACTAGTTATTCTAGCAAGCACATGGTACCAAGTCCCTGCAGGACTGGGCTCCAAGACAACGGAAAACATTGAATTTTAATAGTGGAATTTTCTCCTTCATAGTCTTTGTTTTGGAAAGCTAATGAACAGTTTAAACAGCACCTCTAAATTTTTGCACTATGAGATAAACCCAATCCGAACATGATATTCCTTGAATCACTTTGGTCTACTAAAATAAAACCAATAAAAATAATTTATCCCACTGACTGGCAACTTATTTAACTTCTGGTGATATTTCCAGGTTTAATGACTTTGTGTGCTGAGCTGTATATGAGTATGTTATGAGATATTTATCAAAGAAATCTTTATTTTATGTGAATGCTACTAGTAATGTGAGAAGGATTACTGGAGACCAAAAAGATCCATAACAACAAAAGGTACCTTTGCTTCACTGGTCTCTTCACCATTTCCTTTTTCATTTCTGGTACCTGAAGCTTGAGATTTTGAAGGTTGCCAATCCTGTGACCCAGAGATGATATCTGGAGTTTCTGGTTCAGAAGATTCAGTTTCTATTAATCCAGCACTAGTATCTTGAAAGCTGAAAATAAGGCATTCAGAGAAAATGTAACATCAGTACTTTTTCCACACACAAGTTAATCAGGGCTGCAGGATCAAATTGCACTATGGAGTTATTAAATATACAGTGCTACCACTGTGCATTTGCCCAACCGGACAATGTGCAGAAATTTTAAGCATTCTATTGAACCTGCCAAATTTTATGACTGCCAACTTCATTCCCTTCGTCTATATAAAAGTTCTTGCAACCAAATACATAAGCTCTGAAAAGCTTTAGTTTAATCTTAATAAAATGTCTTTTAAGCACTACAGATGAAGAATTATTTTAAAAGCAAAAAAGCTTTTGAATATTCTGAATTGGCTACAGGAACGCTCTCATTTTACAGAGAAAATCTAATATGGAACAGAGAATATCAAGAAGAGCTTCATCAACACAATGAAGTTGTACTTCAACCCAGAGACTTATTAAAAGTGTTATAGCTCTTCCTCAAATATCTCGTCATTTACAAAACATCAAAAATATCTGTGTAACGGTGATAAGAAAATCTCCTTAGTAAACATGGAAATTAGTGACACAAAGTGAAGTGCTATATACTGTAAAAAAGTTTCTCAAAGTTCATGACCAAAAACAATTGCATCTTTGCAGAAAACCTGGTTATGTTTCAACTCAGTATGAAACTAAGTATAGTTTTGTTTCCCCACAAGTGTTACAGAAGACACATTTTATAGTAAAAAGTGTACAGAAGCCCCCCTTCTCCCCACACCCGCCACAAAGTACAGTAGTAATGTTACTAAGCTCTATTTTAGTAGTACCATCACATTTTCCTTAAAGCTTTAGGGAAAGGTTTGGAATAAGTCACTGGTCTTGACGTACATCCCAAAAATGAGAGAAATTTTGGATTTAAAGAATCACTAAATGGGGGTTTAGCATTAATTTTTATTAAGTTAAGAGGAGGCTTTCAGGGGAAGGATCATGTTGCAGGTATAAAATTAAAGCAAGTGAGTCCACCACCCTTGAGGGCAAAGCTTGACAACACATGGAAACCAAAGACCCCATCTTCACCAATGAATGTGATGGTAACAAAACAAAACTAATTTTAAAAATCAAACCATTTCTTGCTGTGTTTGTAGCAAAAGTTACCTGGCTAAATCGAGATAATTTTCTTCTGTTTTATCATTCAGTTGTAAGCAGGAATGTGATTCTTGCTCCACCAGGACAGGAGTCTCATCCACATTTTCTTGATTAAGAACATCCAGTTCCTCCCCACATTCAGTACGATTAGCACTGTTCATACCAGACACTGCATTTTTTTCTGTTAGCAAATTGTTAAGTGTTTAATATGTATTTCCAGAAAATGCCTGGTAATGTTAGGTACAGATTCCAAAACATCCACAAGAGAAAACACCAATACACACAACAAAAATAGGGCTTCAATTTTAGAAGTTATTTTGAGAACCAATTTGAGACACCCGAGAGGGACCTGAATTTCAGAAAAATCTAGCATTTAAAGTGTTTCTGACTGGGCACCTCAAAAATTAAGGCAACCAAAAAAAAAAAATCATTTCACTATGAAAGTTCAGACTTATGGGTATAGATAGCTAAAGTTTGAAACTTTGGGCTAAATTCAGATTTGTTGCTACAATCAGGAAAAAGAAAGTCACTTTCTTCCAACTGAGTAAAAGTTGAAGTCTACAAAGAAAACAATATTGCGTTTGGAGATTTTGTTTTTAAACAATGGTTGCGTCATTGAACAGATGTCACTTGTCCGTTACCAAAAATGACGCTACCTTTTCCATGACAAGTTGTAGGCTTATGTAATTATAAAGGTTATATTGTAATTTATAGTAAATTGAAAAGGAATTCAGGTTAAAATTTTAAACATTTTCTTTACCTACATTAATCAACAGTCAAAGAGGTTTAAAAAAATTTAGATTTAATTTACTGGTTCGCACCCCATTCAGTTTGGAACTTCTAGGCAGTTTCACCATCCAATTTTCACATAATAATGTTGCAAAGTTTTAAACACTTCTAAGGAAAATTTCTACATCTCAACAAAAACTAGGTTGATTTTTTAAAAATAAAATATTTTAATGGGGGCTATTTGGAGATCTGTTTAAAATTTTTTAGATTTGGGGCCAAAACTACCTGACAGTGCCCTTTAAAATGAAACAGGACATAAAACTTTCACCAAAAGGTTTATGAATTCATGATATATTTTTCCCAACTACATTTTCGAGGGTGATCCATACTGTTTATTAACATAGCTGAGATCTCACCTGTGCAACCTCAGTGGTTTAAACCAAACAATATTCCATAATAGATTGGATTGCTGTAATGTGATATCAGAAGTTATATCTAAAGACCACCATGAAACGTCAGGTAGTCCAGAAAGTGGTAGCGCTCTTGCTTAGAGGTGCTTCATAAATTATGTCTGTGCTTCAAGGTCTGCAATGAAAGATCCAATTTGTTTCCATATGTCATTCAATCTGTTTTCACTTCAAAACCTTAAATGGTTTGGAGTCCTGGGTACCAAAGAGATGAACTCTCTCCATATGCAGTAAATGGCACTTGATATCAACCAAGGTACTGAAGCTAAGCGCCTTCCTGTTTAAAAAGAGAGGGGACTGGCTGCCAGGCATTTTTTGAGAAATGAGCTTTAGTTGAGGGCCTTTCTTCCCCAATGGTCTGTTGATCTTCAGAGCACACTGCAAAGCCTGTGTATTCTCCCAGGCTTCCAAGAAGGAGGTGCATTAAAGAGGGTACAGGTAAACTAAGAGAGGATGGTAATTGTTAGACTTAAGTTGAATGAAAACAATTACCATCCTTTCCGAACCAACAATAGTACCTACATGTTATTTTTTATACCATACAAAGGCCCAAAGAGAACACATCAAGTACTTCTATAGGCTAAAATTTGAGGCTTATAATCCGACGGGGTAGCTAACGCACAACAAACTGGGACAATGCCAACAGCAGAAGGATGGATTATGGTTAAGCATTTTAATCTTACTTTTATTGCTGGATTTCCCCCCCTTAGCTGGTTTTGTGGGGGCAGCTCCCTCTTCAGCCAGATTCTCCACTTCCAGTTCAGAATCATCTTTTTTCTTCTTTTTCCTCTTCTTCTTGGTTGTCACTGGCTCCAATATAATCTGTTCTTCTGTCTGTTCAGAGACACTCAGAGATTCTTCATTCTCCTTCTCAGCTGTCCCAGCATCCACTTCTGTTTCTGCATCAGAAATTCTGATACCCTGAGGATCTTCCTGGTCATTATCTGCGTCTTCACTGACAACTTTAGCTATCAGACAGTACAGTTCCAGGTAAATATATTAGCATTATAAACTAGGAATCTCAAAGGTCTTTCCATTATCAATGTCTGGTGCATTCATCTATCCATGGCAATATGCTGTCAGATATAGCAATAGAGTCCTAAAGAAATGTTTTGGCAAACAACCAACCAGAAGCAATCAAGTCTCAGCACCGGTTAATTGATGCTGCAACACACATTTGGGGGACAGTCCTTGAATCTGAAATTGTTAAAAATGTCATTCTGTACTCAATGCACATTGCTTTGTCCTTGTGGTTTTTAAGTTGGGTAGTTACATTGATTTTACTACAACATGAAAAGTAGATACATCTCTAACCCCGATATAACACGAATTCAGATATAATGTGGTAAAACAGTGCTCCAGGGGGCAGGGCTGCGCGTTCCGGCGGATCAAAGCAAGTTTGATATAACGCAGTTTTACCTATAACGCAATAAAATTTTTTGGCTCCGAAGGACAGCATTATATTGGGGTAGAGGTGTACTTGTCTTCCTGGGGAAAAAAATCCTACTATTGTGGGTAGAGCTTAATTTGTGGCTGCATATGGCATATTATGCTATGGTAGTTCAAAGAATTTATCTAATTACTTTTAGTATATACTACAGTATTCAGAAGTATTAGGAACCTAAACTTTCTAGGCAGATTGTTTTCTGGTTTTGGGAAATAGCTTCTAAAAATGACAATTACCTTTTCTTTTTAAAACATTCTGAAATACCAATAGTCAATCACTGCAAAAATATTGATTTGTATACAGTGCTAAACACCATGAGTAACTGTTTTTACTTTTGGCACCTTAGAGACTAACGAATTTGAGCATAAATTTTCGTGGGCTACAGCCCACTATGAAAGCTTATACTCAAATAAATTTGTTAGTCTCTAAGGTGCCACAAGTACTCCTGTTCTTTTTGCAGATACAGACTAACACGGCTGCTACTCTGAAACCTGTTTTTACTTTGCATTTTAATATTTTTACACTAATTTTTGCCATTCCCCTCCCCACCAGTATAAGTGACAAATCCAAAGTGCAACACAAGAGTAAAGAAACATGCCTTTTATACTACATTAAGTACAAAATAGGTTTATTTTTTAGCCCACAACTAAAAACTTAACATTTTACATGTGGTGTGAAATCCACCAGGTAGGAAAAGACAGCATGATTTCCATTAACTCATATTCATAATCTTATCTAGTAATTTCAGGCAAGTAAATTTCTAAAGACAACAATGGTCTTTAAAAATTACTTTTTTGGCTGCTACTTCCTAGACAGTCTCACCTTTGTAAAAACTTTTCACATATTGTTCTCAATGCCATTTTTCCTGAAACAGCTTTTGACAGTTCAGAGAGTCACAAAATTACATTTAAAAAACTATAAATAGTTTTACACTACTGCTAAAGCAAAACATGTATAAAAATTAATGAAATTCTTTTCACAAGCACTGAAGTACTTTATAAAAAATTAAAAGATTAAGAGTAACAAGAAAATAAATCTTACGCTATATTTTAAACTGAGAAAGTGAGCCAGCTATATGCATCTCACTAAAGAGAATTATACTTGCAAATTTATAGTGGGTGAGGGCAAGTCAAAACTATAGCAACATGAGAAATTGGATCTAGAGAAATCAAAATCACCTAAATAAGAGTGTATCAATATGAAGGGCTTTCAATGCCTGTGGCAAAGCCTTAAAGTGAATTTGTGAGCACCCTATGAAGATATTTATTAACAGATCAAGTTGAGATACTCCAAAACAGAAATACAAGATTCCAAACCAACTGTAACCTGGATAAGGAGTACAATTTTATTTCATACAAGATACCTCTCTAGAAATTGGCTAATACTATCCTCTAAATGAGCAAATTAAGAACTGAAAAAAAGTCCTTTTAGGAATCCAATGATGTCACCCAAGTCTCCCATTGCCTGAAAGAAATCTTTTCAGAACAGTGAAGTATGACATTTCTTAGAGGATTTTTTTTCTTGTTCAATGACCCAATAGTGAAGCACTAGAACAGTATTATTCCATATTACTATCTTGAACAGAAAATTTTAAATTAAGTACCTTTTTGCTTTTTCCGAGATTTGTGTGGCTTCTTCTCTTTTGAACTTTGTCTTTTAGTAGCTTTTTGCTTCCTCTTTTTCTCATCTGCCAGTACCTCCTCAAGCAACTGGGCAAAGAATTCAAAGTCAAATGGTCGCTTTTCCTCTGTCCAATTAAAAGAGTGAAATATAAAAGGTAGTATTTCACAGTTAATAAAATTATTCAAGCTTCTGCTTTCTTAAAACAAATACTTCATTTATGATTTCCACGCCCAACCACCACTTTCCATACTGCACGTTTAATGACTAGTCAGTTTTTTTTTATATACAAGTGGCACTGAAAGCTTGCAGAGACCAGAGGTAACATATTAGGCGTGCAGAAGTTTAGTTTTAAAACAAAGGTTGCGACGTGAGCTGTGCAGACATGCTATATCACCATGGGAAAGCTCTCCCAACAATAAAAAACGCACCCCGAACAAGCAGTGGTAGCTTTATCGCCGGGAGTGCAGCTCCTGGCAATAAAGAGCTATTTATACTGGCACTTTTCAGCGCTAAAACTTTTGTCACTCAAGGGTGTGTCTTTTCACACCCCTGAACGACTACAGTTTTAGTGCTGAAAGAGGCAGCGTAGACACAGCTTAAGAGAGAGTTTCACATAATCGCTTGGAAAATTCTGAAAAAACAACAAATATTCAGGTTGCATCACAATATCAAATTATGAACCACTGTGCTAAATGAAGTAGACCCTGACATTTCATGAAAGTAACAGTAGTACCTATACAGCACTTGTCATTCAAGATTCTCAGAGTGCTCTACAATTAGTAACTAATGGATCCTACATGTGAGATAGTTAAATATTACTCCCCATTTCACAGAAAGACTCTGAGGCACAGAGAAAGTATATGCTTAGCCCAAATTAGACACCAAATCAACAACAGAGCTGTGACTAAAAGCTAAAAATTTTACTTTCAGTCTTGTACTTTAACCACTACATTAATCTCTAAATGTTAAGTATTACAAACAAACACCCTATTGTAGAATTAATTTATTGGATCAAACAAACTAAAGCAAAAAAAAATTACATATTCATAACACTTAATCAGAAGAATTTAGTTAAGTAAAAACTTACTGAACGCTTTATCTATCCTCCATCCATTTGCTTTTTCCTCACGTTTAAACTTGTTCTGAAAAAATGTATATTGTAAATTATATTAATCCTTCTCCACTAAGCAAATGTTACAGTACTACAGATATAAAAGGTAGCAAATTAGGATAAAATACTCCTTTAGTTAGTGAAAACATTGCCCACAAGGACATAAAGTTGTAACTACACCTCTACCCCGATAGAACGCTGTCCTCGGGAGCCAAAAAATCTTACCGTGTTATAGGTGAAACTGCGTTATATCAAACTTGCTTTGATCCGCCAGAGTGTGCCCCCCCCGCCCCCCGGAGCACTGCTTTACTGCGTTATATCTGAATTAGTGTTATAACGGGGTAGAGGTATAACACACTGGTTTGAGTTACAAATGTATCTACTTCAAATTGGGAAGTTTAACTAATTTGTATCAGATCAAGAAGCACCTTATCCATTTCAGACATATTACTCTGGATATTAACTACATTCTGAAAATGTACTGTTACCACAAACTTTACCCCCAAACCATATACCATCAAAAGTTATTAATACTAAAATACTGTTTAAACAGCATGCAAGAGGTTGAGAACAAAAGTAAATGCTGACAATTGCACTGGTAATATCATTCTCTGCTTTACTTACCTTAATCTCTGTTCTTGCTCTGTGAGGAAACAGCTGACCAATGAGAGAGAAGTCTGTTCCTACCATGCTAATAGCTAAGAAGAACATGTCAGTTTCTGTAACAAAAATAGACATACACAAGTAAGTATTGAATGCCATCATCCTTTTTACTACATGAACCAAAATCTTTACATTTAAGAGTAAAAAAAATATGTATACCCAATATATTCAGACAGAGCTAAATTCCAAACCAGACCATTATTCCAGTTCATAGTTTCACAGAGTTTAAGGCCATAAGGGATCATCTGAACTTCTGTAAACCACAGGCCATTACATTTCACCCAACTACCCCTGTATTCAAAGTTATTTTTATTTGAGTTTGCTTTATTTTATACTTTTTCTGCTCATCACATTGTAAAGCATCTTGATACTACTGAGGAATGCTGTATAAATGTTTCTCTGGGTACTTACGGCATCAGTGTGGCTTCTGAGCATCTAGCAACATGGAAAACAGATCAAGCTAATTACTATAAGTGAATATATATCCAATAACCTTGAAATTATTCTGATTCCCCACCCTTCACAGTGGAATACACTAAATAACAGCATGCCTCCTGAAAAATATTTTCCTCATGTCATGACTTAAGAAGAAGGGAGAGGTGATTCAGGTACTACTAACACTATCCACTCCAGTAAAGAGCAGTTTGGAGAAGATTTCTTCTCTAAAACTTAAACAATGTAATTTTGTCAAAAAGTAAGCTATTAAGTCAGGAAGATAAACACTGAAGTAATTAAAAATGATCATCATGTATCAGGAATAAATTTCATGTTCTAAGAGCTTACTCAAAATAAGTTGCTTCTGTGGTTATCAAGCGCTTCACATTCACACCAGCTTTTAACCACCTGGAAAATCAATTCCCTCTATACTATGCCTTTGTGAACAGTATACTTTGAAGTTAAATAATGCATGTTCTAAACCAATAATTTAGCTTCTGCAGATCATACCATTTTTTGACTATGGGTATGTCTACACTACGGGATTAATCCGAATTTATATAATTCGAATTTGGGAAACAGATTGTATAAAGTCAAATGTATGCGGCCACACTAAGCACATTAATTCGGCGGTGTGCGTCCATGTACCGGGGCTAGCTTCGATTTCCGGAGCGTTGCACTGTGGGTAGCTATCCCATAGCTATCCCATAGTTCCCGCAGTCTCCTCCGCCCATTGGAATTCTGGGTTGAGATCCCAATGCCTGATTGGGCCAAAAATATTGTTGTGGGTGGTTCTGGGTATATCCTCCCCCCTCTCCAGGGAGCAACGGCAGACAACCGTTTTCGCGCCTTTTTCCTGGGTGAACAGTGCAGACGCCATACCACAGCAAGCATGGAGCCCGCTCAGCTCAAGACAGCGGACATGAACATTGTAAATACCTCGCACATTATCGTGCAGTTTATGCTGAACAAGAACCTGGAAAACCAGGCGGCGAGGAGCAGGCTACAGCAGCGCGGCGACGAGAGTGATGAGGATATGGACATGGAATTCTATCGAACTGCGGGACCCGGTGATTTGGAGATCATGCTGTTAATGGGGCAGGTTATAGCCATGGAACGCCGCTTCTGGGCCCAGGAAACAAGCACAGACTGGTGGGACCGCATAGTGTTGCAGGTGTGGGACGATTCCCAGTGGCTGTGAAACTTTCACATGCGTAAGGGCACTTTCTTGGAACTTTGTGACTTGCTTTCCCCCGCCCTGAAGCGCCAGAATAACAAGATGAGAGCAGCTCTCACAGTTGAGAAGCGAGTGGCAATAGCCCTGTGGAAGCTTGCAACGCCAGACAGCTACCGGTCAGTCGGGAATCAATTTGGAGGCGGCAAAACATATGGGGGGGGTGGCGTGATG